TTGCATGCATTTGTAAAAATAGAAATAATTTTAAATACATTTATACTTTCATAGATATTTTAGAGCACCTAACCTCACCCCTAACCTTAAAGGGGTCATATGATGTTGCTAAAAAGAACATTACTTGGTGTATTTGGTGTAATGAAATGTGTTTATGTGGTTTAAGGTTCAAAAAACACATTATTTTCCACATACTGTACATTATTGTTTCTGCTCCTTTCTGAAACGTGTCGTTTTTTACAAAGTTCATCGGTCTGAAAAGCGAGGTGTGCTGTGATTGGCCAGCTGTCCAGTGCGTTGTGATTGGCCGAATACCTCAAGCGTGTGACGGAAATGTTACGCCCCTCACCGTACTGTGATGCAGTATGCCACGAGACGAGACAAAAACATTAAAACCCATTATAAACGAGGCATTTGTTGCATCCAGTGGGGACATAATTACGGATTATAATGTGACGAGATTGTGCAACTACACACTACAACATGCAAAATGGAGTTTTCAGATTCATCCACTTTGAAGAGTGTCTTCGCAGGACAAAAACACCACCTCGGTGTGGACGAAAGGCCAAAACGCAGAGAAAAAGATGCATTTTCAGATGTATAGTCAGTGTTAACGGAACCTTAATTAGCTGGTTAATTTGTGTTTGATTAGGGATGGAGCAGAACTTTGCACAAAGGTAGATCTCCAGGTACAGGACTGGGCACCCCTATACTAGACCATCTGGGGACTTTAGGCATACTTATTTCAACATGCTATGCTTTGGGGAACTATGTTCCTGCTGCACTTAGATCCTCACCTCAACTTCCCCATGTCATGCAACTGTTACATAACAGACCGTAAGTAGTTAATTAGCACTGAGAATTTAGAACTTTGTTTCATTTGAGCTGAATGAACCTGTCTCTATAAATAATGATCAGCTGTTATGTTTGCATTTACCTTTGCTTTTTGGATTACAAATTACAGAGTTTAGTTTGAACGATGATCAATCTCACCTGATTGTAACTTTCTGATAATCCTGTAGACCTTTGTTAGCTTGCTCAAGTGAGTTTGGTCATGGTTGGAGCTAAACTCTACACTGAACCTCGAGGGACAGAGTAGAGAAACCCCAGATACTCAGTAGCTAGTCAAGTCAAGTCAAGTCACCTTTATTTATGTAGCACTTTATACAATACAGATTGTGTCAAAGCAGATTTACAGTGTTAAACAGGCAAACAGTGTGTGTCGATAATGCAAGAGGACAATAGCAAACAGTAAATTTTTCAGTGAAACTCAGTTCAGTTCTCTTCAAATAGTGTCTGTGCAATCAGGCCGACCATATTGCCAGAAATAAAGTGTCCGAAACTAAGCAAGCCAGAGCCGACAGGCAAAGGAACCAAAACTCCATCGGTGACAGAATGGAGAAAAAAACCTCGGGAGAAACCAGGCTCAGTCAGGGGGTCAGGTCTCCTCTGGCCAGACGAAATCAGCAGTTTGTTCCATGCTGCAGCTTAGTCAGATTGTGCAGAGGACTCATCTGGTTCTCATAGCCTTTGCTGAGGAATTGTGCTGATGGCAGTCTTCACAGGGGATCTGTCTCTGGGGCTCATCTAGTTGACATGGTCTCTGCTCACATTCAGAGCTGTCGAGGTCATCTCTAGGTGCTGATCCACCATCTGGGGGGGGAGGGGGGGGTAGACTCATTTAAAGGGGTCATATGATGCTGCTAAACAGAAAATTATTTTGTGTATTTGGTGTAATGAAATGTGTTTATGCGGTTTAAAGTTAAAAAAACATTATTTTCCACATACTGTACATTATTGTTTCTCCTCTATGCCCCGCCTTTTTTGAAACACGTCGATTTTTACAAAGCTCATTGTTCTGAAAAAGCGAGGTGTGCTGTGATTGGCCAGCTATCCAAAGCGTTGTGATTGGCCGAATACCTCAAGCGTGTGACGGAAATGTTACGCCCCTCACCATACTGTGATGATGCCCTGTCCGGCCGGAG